TCTCCATTCTTTGGCATTTGATGAAAACAACGCCACTGACTTCCTTGGATGGCTAGGTTGTAGATGACAGGTCATGGACAACAGAATAGAAAGACAGGGAAGATTAAGGGACATGGAAAGGGAAAGGTGTGCCTCACTCAGGAGTCTGGATGAAGACTCAAAGCAGTTGGGACTCAAAAATTCCAGCACGATTAATGACGTACTCTGAAGGCTGTGAATGTGGAGATAAGATTCATTTATACACAGACACTTAAGAATATTAAAACAGCAACGAAACATGCTTCAGGCACATGTACATACATCCCTGAGTCTTGCCTTAGTGCTCTCTCAGATGTCATCTGCGAGCCTCATGAGCAGGACTGTTAACTGTTGACAGTGGAAACATCTTAACTCCCATGCAATTCTTGTGCTCTTCGGTTCTATGGTACTGAATGAAATCTGTCCTTCCATCCTTTCGTCTGCACATTTCAGGAAACATCCAATGACTGCACTCAAGTTCCTGAGCAACCCTGGGAAGATGGAACTTCCAAACTCATTGACATCAAATACATGAGAAGCATGAGACCACACTTGGGTCATGTGCCCTTTCTCTGAGTACTAACCTGTGACCTAAAGACCTCTTAAGAAACTCCAATTCCACTTAATATTAACTTGGTCTAAAATTCATTTTGCAGCAAAGTCAAGAGTCTCAATCTCTACCTCGACAGAGTGGAGAGCTCTGAAAGGAGCTTTGGGATGGCAGCAGGTAGTTTCATGGATCTGTGTCTCTGGCCCATCTTCCTGCCACTGCTAAGATGAATTTCTTTCGTTCTGTATATCAGCACATGTGCATATCATATTGCTTTCCTTGGTATAGGGATCAGGAATTGGGGGTGGGGGAATGAATGGCTATGGAGCCCACACAGAATCCCTGGAATCAGACTCCAGAGACCAGATTCAAGGTGTATATCCAGCTTTATTGTCCAGTATAAGAGCCTTTATACCACTGAAGGCCAATCAGACCATGCCATGCTAGCCTCCAGCACCAGTACCAATCAAAACTATCAGGAAATGGTGGGGGCTGTGGGGAGCAAGGTCACCTTAGGAAACTTCGCTAAATAACGGGGATATAGTTTGTGTGGTGCTGAGGATCAAACTCATGGCTTTCTGCATGTGAGGGAAGCCCTTTCCCATCTGAGCCAGATCAATCTGGCGCTTTCTCAAACAACTAGGAATAGCGCTTCCTCAAGATCCAGCCATACCACTCCTAGGCATATATCCAAAAGAGGCTCAAGTACACAAAAAGGACATTTGCTCAACCATGTTGGTAGCAGCTTTATTTGTAATAGCCAGAAGCTGGAAACAGCCCGATGCCCCTCAACTGAAGAATGGATGCAGAAATTGTGGTACATCTATACAATGGAGTATTACTCAGCAATGAAAAATAAGGAAATCATGAAATTTGTGGTAAATGGTGGGACCTGGAAAGGATCATCCCGAGTGAGTTGTCCCAGAAGCAAAAAGACACACACGGTATATACTCACTCATATAAACATACAACTTAGGATAAACCCGCTAAAATCTGTATATCTAAACAAACTAAGCAAAAGAGAGGATCCTAACTAAAATGCTCAATCCCCATCCTGAAAGGCAAACAGGATAGACATCAGAAGAAGAAGAAAACAGGAAAAAACCTAGGAACCTGCTACAGAGGGCCTCTGAAAGCCAGAAGAAAACAGGAAACAACCTAGGAACCTGCCACCTGAAAGCCAGAAGAAGAAAACAGGAAACAACCTAGGAACCTGCCACAGAGGGCCTCTGAAAGCCTCTGCCCTGCAGACTATCAAAGCAGATGCTGAGCCTGATGGCCAACTGTCGGGCAGAGTGAATGGAATTTTAGGTAAGAAGTGGGAAATAATAAGAGCTGGAGAGGACAGGGTCTCCACAAGGAGAGCAACAGAACAAGAAAATTTGAACACAGGAAACTTCCCAGAGACTAATACTCCAACCAAGGACTATTCATGGAGATAACCTAGAACCCCTGCACAGATGTAGCCCATGGCAGTTCAGTGTCCAAGTGGGTTACATAATAATGGGAAGAGGGACTGCCTCTGACATAATCTGATTGGCCTGCTCTTTGATCACCTCCCCCTGAGGGGGGAGCAGCCTTACCAGGCCACAGTAGATGACAATGCAGCCACTTTTGATGAGAACTGATAGACTAAGATCAGAAGGAAGGAGAGGAGGACCTCCCCTATTGGTGGACTTGGGGAGTGGCATGCATGCAGAAAGGGGGGGAGGGTGGGATCGGGAGGGGAAGAGGGAGGGGCTTATGGGGGGATACAAAGTGAATAAAGTGTAATTAATAAAAGTTAAATAAAAAATTTAAAAAAAGAAGGGGGATATAGTCCCCACCCTAGACTTCAGTCCATTTTAAAACTTCACCAGTGTGCTAGGAGAACCTAGGAGATCAACACTGTGTGCAGTAGATCAGGATCTTTTGAGCAGCTGTAGGAGTCACTGACTCTTCACTCACCATTCCCTATGGGCCGCCTGAAGGCTCACCGCGGCACTCTGCACAGCCTGGGTTACCCTAACTGATGCAGCTGGAAACGGTTAATAAGCCTGTGAATAAATAGTTTTTAATAGACTTCTGGTAATTACATTATATTTAACAATCCGATGCATGTGTGTGGCAAGAATGCAAGTAAATATGCAGGTATGTGTAGGCCAGACACGGGGAGACATGATCACTTGCTCTCTACCTGATATTTTGAGGCAGGGTCTCTTAGTAAACCTGAGCTCACTGATACACCCAGGCTCACTGACCACTGAGCTTCAAGGACCAACCCTCCTCTCTGTCTTGCCAGCAGTGGGATGACAGGCATACACTACCATACATTGCTATATCTCACAACCTCAAAGTTCCAAAAGTAAAACTACAAAAGTTCCCTTTATCCTGTTTCCAAAGGTACTTCAATTATCAGTGTTGGTATTTAGTGCAAGTCATGAAGAAGGTAGTAAACATGGCTAAAGAATTGTTCACTTGGAGATAGAAGACAATAGCAAGACTCCAAACTTGAAATGCAGTAGAAATAGCTTAGATAGACATGATGTATAGGAGACTATAAGGGGGAGCCTAAAGGAATGCCTCTCAAATTTGATTACAATGCAGTTACCCAGGGTTCTTGCCAAGACAGATTCTGATTCCTGGAGGTGGAACTAAAGACTATAATCTCACAGTTTGAGAAAACTCAAATGACTGCTGACCGGGCTGCCTACAGAGTATGAAGGCCCTAGAGATGTGGCCCTCTGTAGGTACAGTAACATCAGAATCTCCTTAAAGGTCCCAGAAATACAAGCCTTAAAGAAGAGGGGAAACTCTTACGTTTCCAACTAAACCAGCTGCTTATACCTAGCCGTGTCAGATCAGTCTCTCAGAATAAAGGAGAACAGCTTGAAAATACTATGTTAGAAACCATTACCTAAGTAAGAACACAATTAGCTTAAAATATTTGTTCTTGCATATCTGCTGGCTTTGGTGATTCATGAGGAAAGCATTACAACATGGAAGATCAGCAGTCGAGACGCTTACCTCCTCACTGCTCCTACCACACCACTACTCTACTAAGCAGTGCAGAGCTTACTTGGAAATACAATCAAACTGAATTTTCTATGTTTTTGTGTTAAAAGCATAAACAACCACACCACTGCTTTGCCAACCACTCACAAGGAAATATTTACACACTGCCTGGCTGATATATAAATATATGTTAACTTTTTGATTTATGGTTATAGATTAACTATTTACAAACACAGAAACACAAATTACATGACATTAACGGCTTGAAAAAAATACTTTTGAAGGGAAACAAATGTGAGGGTAATTAAAAAACAGCCTCACGATTAAAGAAGAGCTCAGCTTTCTACATGAGAGGCCAAGTGATTGCACTATGCCAGCAAAAGACTGAATTTAACCGCTTGCTACTCAGCTAAAACTTGAGCATAAAATTTTGCCTCTAATCTAATTTTGATTAAAACAAAAAGTCTCCTGCTTCCTGATATCTGGAGGCCAGAGGGAATACCTCTAAAACTGAGTGTTTAAAATGTGGGTTTTTCAGTCAGTAACAACTTTATCCCTTGTGACATTTGACAAGTTCAAGAGATACACTTCATGGTCACAGTCAAGGTGTCAAGGAGAGGGAGCAGCACTGCTGGTACCTCGGTGCTATCGCTGGGGGACTACCAAACAAAGCACAAACCCTCCAGATCCAAGATCCAAGGATAGCTCACCTGACCTATGCGGGATCACCTGACCTATGTGGCCAAGAGGGTCAGTTGGTACTGAGCTTGAGAACCTGATTTCAGCCACAGAGCCTGCAGAACACAGAATGGCCCACCCTGTGTGTTGGTCACATTCCCAGCATAGAAGAAAGCACGTGATGGTTGTTAAATATACCACAGGGTATCTTCAGGGCTATAATGATGACAAAAGGCAATGTTTCTATGATCACTAAATTTGGAAGAAAAAAAAATATTTTCAGCATTAGAAGAAAAAAAAATTGTTTTTTCAGTTTTGTTTTGTTCTGATTTTTACAAAGCATCTAGTCCAGTGTTTCTAAGTTGTGTAAAGTGTGATACGGAGGGCACTCCCCAAAGCTCTGAGAGGACAGTGCTGACGGGCAGGGACAGCCTTCTAAGCAGGAAAAAAGAATGACTTTCACACTTTTATTGAAATATCAGTTTCTGCAGTTGCCCTTCTCATGGTATTGATGCTCCATATTTAATAGGCTAAAGTCTTCCTTTTATAAAAATTAAAATCAATGTGGCATAATAAGTGGTATTTCACAAGCAGGAAACAGAAGAAAATGCAATTATTTTCAAAACACGAATCAGAGACCTCCGTAGCCTCCAGGCATCCATCCTCCTAAAATGTCAGTTATTTAACTGTCCTGAGAAATCCTTAGCTGGCTCATATTTCCTGAAACACAGGCGCTGACAGTCACAAGGTTGAACATACCCTTAATCATGGATTCAGCTGCATACAGATCTTGTTTGTAGGTCACCTAAAGGACAGATAAACCTCATTAGACTCAACAGAGCAGGCAGGAATGTGAAAGCAATAAAACAATGCCCCTAAGGAAATTTTTCCTTCTGGAGAAACTGCACACACACAGCACAGGCAATTTCCAAATGAAAGAGGCATTAGATGTTCACGTTACATCAAGTTCAATTTCAACAAATTATGAAGACCCGAATCTTATATCTTTGAATAAGTTGTGATAGCATGTAGCAATGTTTATTGAAACATGATCACTAAAACTGGGGTTTAATAATCAAGGAAAATGTGCAAGCGTTCAAACAGAAGTATTCACATCACTGTCTTGCAGGGTTTTGTACTGGAAAAGGAGGAGGTGAGGAAGAAAGGTGAAGGGAGAGGAGAGGAGGGCTGGAGGGCTGAGGAAAGAAGAGAATTTCCATGTAACAAAAGTCAGCCAGCTCCATTCCAAGTGGAAACTCTCAAAAACCAATGTACATTTAAAAGGATTTCTTGTGAATTGGAAGACCTTTATGAAAATGCTTAGTTGCACCTCGTGAGATTTTTCTTAAAACACAGCTCCTACAAAAAGAATCTACAGAGTACCAGAGTGTGCCCAGGAACAATGATGACCTTTCCTTAATAGCAGCTTGTTGTTAAGTACCAGGCATGCTACATCTATCTGGTCTACGGCAGATCCCTCCCAATGGCATCCGAGACTTCAGACAGGGAGCACCGGCACGTTAGTCTCTGTGTCATGGAACGAAGCATGAGCAATAAAACTGACTAAGCACAATAAAGTCTGAGAGGCTCAACATTCAGACGTCCAGATGAACCAGGTGGTGGTGCACACCTTTGATCCCAGCACTTGGGAAGCAGAGGCAGGCAGATCTCCGTGAGTTCAAGGTCAGCCTGGTCTACAAAGCTACAAAGTAAATCCAGGACAGCCAAGGCTACACAGAGAAACCCTGTCTCGAACCCCTCCCTCAAAATAACCAAAACAAACAAACAAACAAAAGAAAACAAATACCCAAATGATTAATAATGCCAACAGTCTCAACCTTGTTTTGATAAATATTTACCTAACTAGTCCCTTTCCAGACTGTCAAGTTAGGTTTTTTCCCTCTAAATCATCTCATCCTGGATTTTGTTAGATGCATTGTTTAGCTCAGGTAGACCAGGACACTTATGAATTAGATTCCTCTGCCGGCCCCTTACCCTAACAGGTAAATCTGATGATGCCATCCTCTTCAGAGTCGCAGTAACAGCAAACTCAGAAAGACAGATGGAAGTCTACTGGAACATTTAGCTAATGCATTACAATCCAAGGTGACATCACCATGATGTCTCTAAAGAAAGCACAGCCGATTGATATCTGTGACTCTCAGTACTGCAGTTACTATCTGCTGTACAGTTCTGCGTTTGAGAAAACAAGAACAGGCTCACGCTACAGATTTTCGAAACACCGTGTATCAAGAAGTGTTTGTAAAGGGTGCTGTAGATGCTGCTCTGAGTGCTAGGGGCAGAGCCACGCCAGGAGCCAGTGGAACATTTTACCTGCAGTCAAGGACTTCCTGTGAAACAGCCTGGTTTTATACTCTAAGGTGAACTAAATAGCTCAATTCCAAACTAACTAGTATTTGTAATTTAAATAAGAAAATAATTTGTATAATGACTGTCTGTTGCATAGTTTAAATTCCAGACAGAAATCAAAACTATACCTAGCTAACTATTCATTATTTTCTCATGTTTTCAGGGGTAAACTACATTCTAAGTTCAAATTAATATTGACAAAGGATTTTAGAATTTATATAAATTTACCCTCAAGTACTAAAATAGCTTTTAGAATTCTTAAAACTTAAAGAACTGCAATTACTTAAGTATAAAAATACATGTTTTTTCACTTAATGATAATATTCACCAACTAAATTTTAAAAGTCTCTTAAATTTCTTTCTCCTCTCTCCATCTTATGGGTTATAGATGCCAACACAAAGATTTATAATTTTTGTTTTCACTCAGAGGAACATCTAGTACGTGTTTAAGAACAGTTTTAAAACCATGTACAGTGACACACAGTTATACTCCCAGCATTTGGAGACTGAAGCAGTAGGAGAGTGAATTAAGTCCAAATTAGTGTATTGTGATTTGAGAGCTGCCTGAACTATGAGCAAGCATAGCTAGCAGGGGGGAAAAATCTGTTGTTTTCTAAATAAAACATCTAATGCACTTCAAAGGGAATATTACTGGAAAATGCCATGATTTTGAAATGATGTGTTATTCGCTTCCCTAACTTTTTAAAAATGAGTTGTCCTTTCCTTATTTTTCATTTATAAAAGCATCCTAATAATCGGTTTTGAAGTTGACTTTCAGGACTGCTAAGCCTTTTGGGTAAGATCAAGCGTTGACATTGATTTTCCTCTGTCAGCACAATCTGTACTTTTCCTTTGACCTTGCACAATACCCAACTCTACTGCACATGCTGATGTGTTTCTCACTGACCAGTTTTCAAGTGAGGCTCAGTGGAGCCTCTGGAGCCCTGGAGAGATCAGTAAGGGTGCCTGTCCAGGGACACGCTGGCAAGGCTATAGCTGCCACTCACCTACGACTCTGTCTTGTCTCCATTGCCTGGGTCTGTGTCAAGGCAGTGATTCCTCTGAGCTGTGAGTTGAGCTGAGAAACAGTCAACAGAAGAGAAACCTGATGCTCACACTGAAATTATTCTCTCTCACTTATAGGCCAGGTTTCCCTCAGCTACCAGCATGCACTTCACCTGGGAACACTACACTTATATTTTGCTCATTTTATGTCTTGAGGTGCAAAAGAGACCTTTCTGAACAGAACCAGGTCAAGGTGGCCCCACTTTCCTTGAGTAAGAGTAACACTACCCTGGAGGCTCCCACATACCTACCACATAAGAGGCATCACTCCTGGCAAAGGGGGACGGTTAATTCCTATACTTAGAAGATATTGAATATTCTTTAAACATGGGTGTCAGGTCAGAAGGAAACTCTAAAATTGCAGCCTTGGCTTGGTTCTGGCTGTACTATAGAAGGACTGTGTTCCTCACTCTCATCACTCCTCGGGTTTCTATCTGCCAAGAAGGGTCACTTCCCTCTTGCCATGTATCTATGGTGCATCCAAAAGTCACTGGCCAGCAGGCCCCTCCCCTCCTCTGCAGCTAAGGGGTTTTCTTTACAAGCTGGGAGGTTTTCTCCTTACTCCACCTCTTCTCTCTGCTCCCAGAGAGATACCCCAGGCCATTGCCAGTCTTCCCACACCTCTGCCCTGGAGAGGTAGCCAGGGCTGCTTTGGACTTTCCCAAAGGCCTCTTGCTACTCTGTCTCACATCTATAAGAAAAACCTTCCCAAGCATGGATGGATCATTTTGGCGCCCTCTCTGCACCCTTGCTTACAGTGGGTATTTTTGAACTTTATTTCTACTTCTCTAGTTGTGAACACTGAGAAAATATCCTTTTTCCTAGAATGGGAAAACTGCATGAAAACGTCAACAATAGAAATTATGTCACCACACTGAATTGTTGAGGGTGAAACAAAAAATGTTTCCACTTCTTTGTTTTTAAACGAAGATGCCAGAATGATGGATCTATAAAAGCTAATGCCCATCCAGAAGAGTCTTCCAGCCACTCATCCCAGCATGCTGTGACGACAAAAACACTTGCAGCCTCCTTCTCAGGGTGCATTTGAACACAATGAAGCAGTTGTTACATTTCCCCAATAACTGGTTATAAATCTCATGCCTTGGAGACATCTTTGACATTTAGAAACAAGAAGTCTGTTTAACTAAGACTGTGTGGGGTTTCTTAGAGACCTGCTAGTGTCTAAAAGTATACTTGGGAAAAACATAAGACATGTTTTTAAATGATATCAAATCTCAGCAAAATAAATGCTCAACAAAGCTACCAACTCACAGCCACTCCAGGATATCATTTTAATAAATGAGATATCATTTTAATAAATTGTCTATGAGTGTGGACCCCTGTTCTCGGGAGACAGAGCAGCTTTCTATGCTTGGACATTTGGGGGAAGGAGGACTAAATCTGGTCAGGTGGTACCATGTATGGTAAGGTTTTTTGTTTTTTGGTTTGTTTGTTTTTCCTCTTTTATTATTATTATTATTATTATTATTATTATTATTATTATTATTATT